AAACGAAGAGTGTACCAGGCAACAAGAACACATCCCAGGTCAATGTCAAAACCAAGTACAAGGTTAATTGTCTCTTTTATAGTAGTAATTTACTCCTCTTTCGTCCGTGGATATAGGTCAAGGTTAATTGACCGAACCACGTAAATATGGTGTTCTTGTCGTTTCTTTTATTCTTCCGCTTTATTGTCTTTCTTAGGTTGCCAAAATTACCCTTTGATAAATATCCTGAGGTTTGATAAATATCCTGAGACTAGCTCTAACACAATCACCTCTCTCAGCTCTTCAAAGTTGGCACAGATATTGCCGCGGATGTCATTTGTCCAATGACATAGTGTAAGACTTTGTCCGATACGATCGACCTCGGTGTTGTCTCGTGTGACCCAAATGTGCTCCTAACTCCGGCAGAAACAGAAACACCATATAAGTTGCATCAAGTTCTCAAGATGTTGTGATGGGTTACCACATAGGCAAATAGAAAGCTTCGGTATAACGAAGCACCATCGTTTCGTATCCTCCGAAAGAAAGCATACAGTCGATGAAGCAGCTGAAAGTCGGAAAACATGCTTATCCTAACTTTCTCATCTTATATGCGACGGTAAAGTCGACGAGAAGAAAGAGGAAGAGATGGTGATGAGCAACAGAAGATGAAACCTGGATCTTTTCTCGCAGGACTTTTTCACTTCTGCGGTATTCTGCTACCATTGAGCGAAAAGTTTCCTGCAGTACAATTAGAGAATCGACAGAGTGCTTAAGGTATATGGCCTTGTTGTGGTATATTTTTATGATGAAGTGTGATGTATATTTCAAAGTTCGTAATTGTTAGATGTCTAGTGGGATTATTCTCTTAGCCTTTTTTGTTTTTTAGTCTCTCCTCCTCACATATGAATATCTTCTAATATTTTCCTCCAATTCATGTGTCATTCAATTGTCTCCGTCAATCTTTCACTACCAATAGGAGATAATTCTCTTTTTTAATCTTCTCTCACATATGGATATCTTGTAAGAATAATCTCTCTTTCATTCATTACAGCCGTAACACAAATACACTTGCCAGAATTTAACCAAGTAACTCAAAGAACAGAAACATGATGCATGTTCAAGAACTAGTTGAAGAGAGCTGCTTACCTTTTCTCCGAACGCCAGCTTCTCCTCATTCTTCTCCTCAACCTCCGCCTTCAAGAAGTATAAGAAAAGAAGAGCTCAGATGTTTCATTGCATTTGAGCAAGAACCACTGGATGGTTTTGAAGAAAGACAAAGTCATGTGCAAGAAAGAACTCAGAAAGAGAACTATATATACAAGCCACAGGCAGAAAATATAAGCCACGTAGATGTAATCAAGTAACAAGTCTCATGAGATGGAGTGGAAGAGTTGAGATCAAACCAACATAAAGAACAGTGTGCAGGCAAGAAAGTTGAGGAGAGGAGAAAGGTAGTAAACAATTGTTGTCCTCTTTTCCTATATTTGGCATGGACAATGACAACCATGGATTAGTTTGGAGATCAATGCGCAGTTTCTTAGAACTTGCACGACAAACTATTTGTCCATTTGTATGGTTTTTTGTTGGTTCCCTTTACCCTTTTTTATAACTTTATATTTTTAGATCCAATTCGTTTCAAGGACCAATAACTTTCACCGTGTTTGTTCTTTCAATTGCTTGGTTAAGTTCTTGAGTGTGTATGTGTTTCGGTTGCAACGCGAGAGAGATATATTATGAACTTTGAAGTATACATCACACTTCATCTTAGTTATTTAGACATGTGCAGAGGAAGAAGATGAATTGGTCCTATTCTATAAGTCTATGCAAAGATGTTAGATGAATCACAAGTTATATCGACAATTGAGTTAGGTCTAATTCAATGAGAAGGTGATAGCTAGTTTAGCTGGTAACAACTTTGACGGTTTACTATAAGGTTCTGGGCTTAAATCCCACTTTTGTTATTTATCTTTTGCGAAAAATAAAATAAAATCACAACACGAATATCCTCATGTTCTTAAGACACCTAATTTAATTCAGGTATTGTAGTACATCTTTATAATTAGCTAAATTTTATGTTAGTATTAAAATCAAGTATCGAAGATTAAAAACCAAAGGTGCACACCTTTGGATAGGATTAAGGTTCATTTTCTCTTTATGTTTACTGAAATGATTGCTTGTGGATCCCTAGTGAAATGTTTTCTCTAACTCGTTTTCTCTTTTGTAGGTCATAAGGAACCCTAGGAGGTTTCGGAGAGATTGACTTTTATGGACGGACACACAAGGGTGCCGCACGACTTAAGCAAAACTAGCTAAGTGCGTCACATTATGGTATCAGAGTAGGACAAGCATACAAATAAACACTTAGCATGTAAATGTAAGGGACCTAGTAGGGCTGTGTTGAGGGCAGCTAACACACGCGACTGTTTGGGGAAACATGCATGGAGATGTAGGGAAAATGAGTCGCTTAAAAGAGCGGGCATCTGATATTGGCATTCAGAGTAATGGCTAACCCTTAACGCAAGAGGCACCACAAGGATAATCAAGCTGGGAAGAATGTGTAGCTCACAAAGGTTGGGATGGCTGAGTTATGCAATTTGCCCAATTTGCCCCTAATTAAGTTGGCCCAATTCTAACCCAATTACACCTAAAACCTACTTCGATCTAGATAATTATTACAAAGCTTGAATCAATTATTGTCCGATTCATCGTTCTCTCTTGCGGCCTACTGCCCAATCGGCCAGTTGACCTCCATAACTCCGATTTCCTTGGCGCAATTTCCATTCTTCTTGCCCCGATGTCCGAACCCATGGCCCGAAACCTTCTTCTGATACGTCGATCGATCCTCCGGCTCGACGTTCAATCTTCTGTAAATTTTACTCCAGCCCAACATGATTCTTCCTACTTTAATTGTTTCTCCCTGATCGAATCTTCCTACGTCACTCAAAACACAGATCAGATCATAAACACATCAATTAGTTTCATCATCAAAATCCAAGATTCAACACTAAACTCTAATGGATCTTGCCCTGTTGGGTACTGGATCTTCATCCAACTACCCAAGCCACTTAAATTAGTGAATTTCTATTCAATAATCACTCATTGGCTCTTATTAGATCTCATTCATAGGATCCAATAATTCAAGGGCTTATTGGATATCCAATAAGATAGGGGCTCTAGCGAATATCTCATATATGAATCTCTACTCGTCGCGATGCCTACCATATGTGTGTGACCCGCTAAACTTAATATCAAGCTAGCTGTGAGTCATAGTTGTCAGAACTTCTTTTGACTCAGTGAATTATAATTTCCATAATAATTCACTCAACTCATCGATTACGGATGTACTAGGCCACTATGTCGCAGTCTCTAGACGATATATGGGAATTATTATCTCCATAATAGTTTGTCAGCTATGAGATAAACTAGTTCTTGAACATGCATGCATCATGTTTCTGTTCTTTCAGTTACTTGGTTAAATTCTGGCAAGTGTATTTGTGTTACGGTTGTAACGAATGAAAGAGAGATTATTCTTAGAAGATATCCATATGTGAGAGAAGATTAAAAAAGAGAATTATCTCGTATTGGTAGTGAAAGATTGACGGAGACAATTGAATGACACATGAATTGGAGGAAAATATTAGAAGATATTCATATGTGAGGAGGAGAGACTAAAAAAAAAAAAATGCTAAGAGAATAATCCCACTAGACAACTAACAATTACGAACTTTGAAATATACATCACACTTCATCATAAAAATATACCACAACAAGGCCATATACCTTAAGCACTCTGTTGATTCTCTAATTGTACTGCAGGAAACTTTTCGCTGTTGTGAAAAAGTCCTGGGAGAAAAGATCCAGGTTTCATCTTCTGTTGCTCATCACCATCTCTTCCTCTTTCTTCTCGTCGACTTTACCGTCGCATATAAGATGGGAAAGTTAGGATAAGCATGTTTTCCGACTTTCAGCTGCTTCGTCGACTGTATGCTTTCTTTCGGAGGATACGAAACGATGGTGCTTCGTTATACCGAAGCTTTCTATTTGCCTATGTGGTAACCCATCACAACATCTTGAGAACTTGATGCAACTTAGTGGTTCTGCATCTTCTTATATGGTGTTTCTGTTTCTGCCGGAGTTAGGAGCACATTTGGGTCACACGAGACAACACCGAGGTCGATCGTATCGGACAAAGTCTTACACTATGTCAGTGGACAAATGACATCCGCGGCAATATCTGTGCCAACTTTGAAGAGCTGAGAGAGGTAAGAATGCTTTCCAACTCTATCTGCTTGCGTATAAGTTCTCCTTTGGTCCTTATAAGTGAAATTGCCTTCAGATGTTCCTCCAGCTGCTGTACGAGCACATCAGAGAAGAATCGACACCACGAAGGTGATTGCTTGAACTATAGTCTCTTCAAGAACTCTTCTACATAGCGATTGAAGCATTCTGTTGCTTTGCGAGCTCAGTCACAAGGAGTTTCTGTCGAGGAGCCTGAGACAGTGGGATTCAGCTTCAAGTGGGACGCTTTGCTCACCATTAAATTTCTTGTGTCTTCTCTTCGTTCAGTGTTCTCTAGTGTGTTTGCTCGGTCAGTCATTTCACTCTTAGGCTATGCTGCTTCAAATGAAATAGCCAGGCAAGCTGCTGAAATCCTGTTTGATCCAGACACAGACTACGACGAGGTAGGACGCTTTAATTGGCCATCATGCGTGCAGG